TGAACATTTTGAGGAAAGCAGTGTGGGTTGCACAACTTTGTATCTTCCACAATGCTCAACAGAGAGCCTGGCACAGACTATGAGTGTGTGTGTGTGTGTGTGTGTGTGTGTGTGTGTGTGAGAGAGAGAGAGAGAGAGAGAGAGAGAGAGAGAGAGAGAGAGATATGAATGAATATGACTATATTAAAACATCTCTCTTTGATTTCCTCCAGAGGTTAGACTTGGTGGAGTTTAAGGGAATGGCGAAAGGGATATCCACTCCTTTCAATAGTTGGAGCCTCTGATGAAACAGAACATAAATCTTCTCATCAAACTTCATGTCAGTTTGTAGACCGGACTGCCAGGGTTTAGGGGACTTATTGCTTCTGTGTCTGGAAGTAAATTCAGAACCTCAAAGTTCACCAGGCCTCTTAAATTTCCATCTCTGCCGAAGTGCCTCATTGTGCCGTATCCCCCGCCAGCCGTCACTCTCCTCAGGCAGTTCAGCCCCGTCTCAGGGGAACTGGCCACTCGGCCTCCTGTAGGCGTTCTGTGGGTACTGGAGGGGACTTCATCCACGAGGCAGCTCTCCTTCCACACTCATGCTCTATACACAAATCTATATGGATTTTCGCCCTTTTCTGCCTTTCAGTGAATACATATATTTCAGTGGTTGTTCAGTTTGAACAAGACCTTGAATCTGTCTGCACATACTATCAAAAAAGTGATGCAGACTCGTGTTTTCTACTCTGTCAGATTTGAGTGACTTTACTGATATGGTTTTTATCTGAAAGAATCATCAACTGACATTGGTACAGATACTTTAACATCTTAATATCTTTTTCTTCAGTCTTATTTTCCCCCAAACAGGAAAATTGAAAGCATCTTTATTCAAAACGATTGACTACCTTCTTAACGCTGTCATCAGTTATGATTTTTGGGTGAAGGCTATCGCAGACTCACAACTGATTCATCTGGAAATATCATGATTCTTTTATCCAGACACATCCCTAATTCCTTCTTCTCCTAAAAAGGAAAAAACAAAACAAAACCTGACACCCTGAGAACAACAAAAGTTGTGATTCTGTTTGGCTTGCAGGCAGTCAGCTACATCCACTTCAGAGGGCACAGCTGCCAAGCTTTCCCCGGGAACGCCCTTATGGTTGTTAAGAGCAACGTTAATAGGTGATCCCTGCCACTCTCCATGCTCACCCTACAATCCCACTCGAGATAGATTCTAGCACCCTTGGAGGCTCTGTAAAACTACTGCTTAGAAAAAAAGAACTGTTCTTGAAGCATTCCCCCAACTGATCATACCGACCAGGACTTACACTGCCTACGTGAAGGATTATTGAATTAGCAATGCATATGATAAGTGGGTAACACAGAAGAATGGGGTTTTCTGCACATGGACCAAATTCTGGTTTGGGACTTTGATCCTTACCATCGTGGTTAAGGCCAAACTAAGACTCTTGGATAATGTGAAGAAATACATTAGAAAGAAGAAAACTATGATCCTATTAGTGCAAATAAAAGCTGGTGGAAGCTTCTCATAGGAATGTTCTTCCATAATGGAAAGAAAATGGTCCATGATGAGATTGCTCATGTAGGTAAAATGGCTGCTGAAAAAAAAGCAAACACTTTGTTTCAGAAGCAGCCAAATAATCAATAATTTGATTTTTAAAAGTCATGTTTGCCACAAGGATTTCTATGATGAGATGATATAAGCAAATTGATTTCCCTGTTGACTTTATCAGAAAAATCATCAAATGCCCCTGAATCTTCCCTCCGGAATCCTGAAAAATCCCTACAATAACCTTCCCAGAAAGTTATTTTCTGGGATTCATGATTTCCTGAAGCCCTTCCTGCAGCATGTGATTATTGCCGTTATAAAGAAGGCAAGAATTATAATTAGGAAAGATATGAATGTGATATAATAGCACAGTAAACACAGTTGTATATAATTAATTACCACATTGCCCCCTTTACTTGATTTTATATTCATGTTGCAAGCTCTTAACTATGCATGTATAATTGATTCACTATGGTATATGTGGTTGTTTTAATAAAAAGTTTCAATTGAAGTTTTTGCTCAACAGTATAACTCCCTTATTCCACTGTTTCTTTGGGAAAATCAAATTCAACTTATGTCATATCATTTCTGGAACCACATCCTGTATAGATGAATACTCTGTCTATTGTAGTTGCAATAATGGAAGATGAGTCAGAATTTCTTTCTTCCTTCCCTTGTTTTTCCTGTGTCCTTGATTTTTTCCAGAAACTAGCTTTCTATAGAATAAACTTCCCTGGGTACCATTTGTTCCATTTGATGACTTGGATACTCAGGGGTTCACAGATTTTTGTAGTTGTAATATCCTTTTTTTTTTTTTAAATGCAAACACACTATCACCTCTCTTACCATTTAAAAACCAGAATAAATTTTGGAGCAGATTTAGTAGCCTCTGAGCACATTAAAGGCCCTCTGAGATGTTTTGAAACCAAGACTAAAAGGTTTGTCTTGTGCTTAAAGAAGGGAAAATATCCAATTTTTAGCCTTATAGTAATTTTGAATAGCTAAAATTATTTGTATGCTAAACCTCCTTTTAAATGCCAACATGTAGGTCAGACAAAAATAGAGAATGGGTTGTAATACAAACCTTTGTAGATTTAGAAAACTTACTATGGTCAGTGGAGAATTATCTTCACACAGACACATACACACACACACACACACACGCACACGCACATGCACACATGCTATGCATCCTGAGATCAGTCAGCATGCTTGTTTCTGATTAGTGCAAGTAAAAGCTATTGGAAGCTTCTTACAGGAATGTTCATCCATAATGTTAAGAAAATGGTCCATGGTGATATTGCTCATGTGGGTAAAATGGTCACTGAAAAAAAAGCAAACGGTATGGTAAAAATGTCATAAGAAATCCTACTACTCGTCTGTGATGACCAGTGCATACCTATGCACACAGCTCTACTAGGACCATCAAACCAAGGACTCACATTTCAGCTTCTGTCATCAACCACTTAGTCTTACTACCTTAGCATCTCTTGACACCTTTTTGTTCCTTCTTAATCTGCCTACCTGCTCACATGTAAAAGAACACTTTTTTTTCCCCCTAACGACTAACAGGTTTAATAGGTTACTTCATCTACTAACTTCCTCCATATCTCTCTCACATTCTCTTTGTGCCCTAGTGAAAAAAATTCACTACCTGGTAATTTTAGCCCAACATTTTCAATATAAAACTTTCTGTTGAGACTTATTAAAGTGTATCAAGCATATCAAAACAATAGACTGAATGAAGCAATTAATAAAGAGTATTGTACTGAGCTTTTAAAAAGTTAAATTTCCATTGTAACAGCTATACGATGTCAGAGGGGTAGTAGATTGGGGGGCAGTAGGCGGGTTATCACTTTGTGAGGAGTGTAAATGTCTAAACTATTACGTCGCTTTGTATACCTGAAACTAATGAAAAATAAATAAATTTCCCCCATACCACTGAGTGAGAGGCACATACAGAATGGCTAAATGCACAAGTATTTCTCAAATCTGTTCAAGTTAGTCTGACATAGAATGGGCCAGGGAGGAAATCAGTAGGTTTATATTGCTAGACAGTACAACACATCATACATTTAGATGGTTTCATATAAAGCTGTTACTGGACAAATCTTTCTGAAACAAATACTACAACAAACATTTTTTATTGATAGACATCAGAGGACCCTCATGTTCATTCTCTGTTGAGTGCTGGTTTAGTGCAGCCGTAGTACAGGACAGTCACAGATCTAAGTGGGTGACATAGCACTTCCCTAAGATGATGAACAGGACTTGGGCCACACTGCTGGAAAGTTTTTCTCTAGATGTGTTTAATAAGGGAAATAAGAAGTCTGAGCAGTTTTCAGTAAAACAGAAAATCAAAGTAGGAGAAGCTCATGATGTCAATAAGGCAAAACAAATCCGGGAAAGGACTTTGGTATTAGTCCCTCAATTACCTGTGTGTTCAAATTGCAAATCCCTTTCATCTTTTAGGTAATGTGTGTTTAGAGTTAGTCCAAAAAAGTTAGGTCTTTTACAAGTATTGTTAAGAAATGTGAAATTAAGCAATAGCCTATCTAAAAATTGTAGCCCAAAGACTGAATAAATCCTTGGAGTTTGTGGTAAAGAAGTGAACTATAGGACACCAAAATCCAAAATGTATGAGCCAATGAAACACCAAAGCCACTGAATTTTTTCTCACTAAATTAGAGTGACGCTCCTAAATAAAAATATTAAAAAAAATTTTTCTATGTACTGTGAAAATGATAGAAAACTGAAGTATGGTATCTGAAATTCCAGTGTGATATCTTGGTTTATATGGGGTCTTGAAGTGTGTGCCTGAAAGAAAGGGTTCTAGGATGGGAAGGCTACAAATGTTAATGTTTTAAGCACATTTTGTGCATCATAAAGATTCTAGACACAATCCCAGGCCTATAAAAGACAGCTTGTTCTAAACAGTTTTCCACTTCCTCTCTAGAGAGCCCTTATAATTCCTTCTGTAAGGACTCCTCTTCGATATGTAGTGATAGAGGCACAGGAACGTTTCATGATTTTTTGGAGTGTAATAGTGTGAAAAGCATGGTTGTAAAATGAACTGCTTTACTCCCCTTTCTACCTAATTTCTTTCCCCCTGTGCTTTACAAACTAGGATACCTCTTTCTGACCCAAGAGCTCGTGTTTAACTCAGAAATTATACTTTGCAAATGTCCTGCATGTTCTAATTTGTTATGATGTAAGGAGAAAAGAGCTTGTCTGAGCACCAGTTTCAACGGTCTTTGGAAGCCAACACCCCTTCCCTTTTTGACTGTCTAAAATGCCCTTGCTAGCAGCCAGATCCCTTTGCTAGCTCCAGTGTTTGCACATTTCCTTGTTAATCAGCTGCGTAGACTCAGAGACTGTGTGTTTTGGTGTTGTTTGTGTGTGCAATCTCGTGCTGCTTCCTGAACGCATGTGTCCCTTCCCTTCACAGCCTACTCGACACCCAGCACCTCCCCCGCAAACCGATTCGTCAGTGTTGGACCACGGGATCCAAGCTTTGTAAATATCCCTCAACAGACACAGGTGGGCCGCTCTCATCTTTTCTGTATGTGGTGCAGCTTGTTTTATTTATCAGGTGCTTTGTAACTGGTCTTTCGGCACAACAGGCTGCATTTCCCAGCCCCCTGTTTGGTCCCCTTTCCTCCCGACCCCACCCGCCCCCGGCCCTTCAGCCACATTTCCATATGTTCTCAGAAATTTTGGAAAACGTTGCCTGCCATTTTTGCTTCTCGTATTGAGGGGGTAGAAGAGGAGGGCTTCTGGGCCAGAACTGCTTTTGCTATGGCAAAAAATAATATTTTGCAGTGCTAGATGGCGTGTGTCTCTCCTCTTCTAGGAATCCGTGTCTCCCCACATGCAAGGAGACAGAAGTAGGCCCCTACTGAACCTGGAATATAAGCTGTGGCTGCCAGCGACATCAGAGTGCCTGCTGGCAATGGGGGAACCAACCACTCTTCCGTATTCATTATAGGGTCTCCAGGAACCTGGCAAACTTTCTCAAAGAAAGGGTTTATGAGCCCTATTAAGTTGCTGGTGTTGGTGCAGAAAAAGGAGATGTTTGTTACTGGCTACGCTGGTACTGGGGGGCAAGGTGCAATGGGGTGGGAGGGGGGTGGTTGTGTGTATAATGTCATATTTTGAGTTAGGTGATTGAGAAAAGAGTATGCCAGGATATCGAGAGCTTTTTTTTCAATAGATAGTTGTGTTTTGTGCTAGTATAGGTCAAGGAGAAGAAATCTCTTTTAAAAGTTTTGAAATGGCTGCTGCTTATTGGGAAACAATGAAAGACTTTTGTAGTTCAAAGGTAGTGGATGTAGAGATATTAAGGGGTTTGTGAAACAGAATTAGATTCCAGTTTTGAAAGAAACTCCTCTCTGATTTCCTAATTAGAACATGACCATATTTTATCATAATTGACATAAAGAAAATATTTTCTCTGTGAGGTTCTCAGCATGGTAGTTGAAAAAAATTCTCCAAGGTATTTTGTGCATATGCCTGGATGTGTTGTCTCCAAATGCCGGAGTTCTAACTACTCATCTCTGTTTGTAAGACTATGACCAGGTGCTTAGGAACGAGCTAGGTTTGCCTTCCTGGGTCCATTTGCTCTCTCTGAGGAGAGTTTTAGTTTATTGCTGTGTCAACAGCACGGGTTAAACTGCATTGCATCTGAAGCCTTCCTTACACTGAAGCAGGGTCACAGAAAGTACAGCTCAGAGGAGGCAGCTGGGAAGAGGGGGGGAGCAAAACAGGGACGGAGAAAGTTAACTCTTGAATTTCCCACTTCTGCTCTTTCTTCTGAAACGGGCCTATACATGGCGTCTGGGATTAACATCTCCTATTCAGTACCTCCCATAAAATTGTTCAAGTTTATTGCTTATTTTCCCAATACCTTCAAATGCTTAACTGGTGAATTTGAAGTTGGATAATTACCTCGAATGCATTAAAGTAGAAGAACATTTCATTTTGTTCTTTGGGTTCACATGTTCAAGTTCAGTGGGAGGGGAAAACTGGGGACAGTGGCTCTAATATTGGATGATTTCTTTTCTCAAAGCTCCAGTGTGCTCAGGTTACTGCATCAAAAACCTCAAAAATGCAGTTTGGAAATGTCCTGTTCGTATTTTACATAGTATTTTTTATATAAACTGTGGTTCACAGCCCTCAAACTGTACCCCGTGTTCCATTCAATATGTTTCCTTATAATCAAAACGTGTTATATTCCGATATGGCTTTGTTTCACAAATGCCTTATTTAACCCATAAGCTGGGTCTTCATGATGTTGACCACAAAAATTCAATTCTTAAAAATCCAGATTTTCCACGCATCTGGATGAATGATGTCATATAGACCCAGTATTGGCATCTGGGACTGAATTTTTTGGTTTTCATTAAATATTTGGCATCATAGGGACAACAGCTTAAATGCTTTTTATCACAGTGACACCTGCCACATTTGGCTTGAAAAGACATCCCCAATTGTCTTATGAGAAGCTGTGATAACGGAGTTGTCATTTTTTCATATATATATATATATATATATATACACACACACACACATACATATATATATATATATATATATATATGAGGGAGAGAGAGAAATTATGTGCTCAAAATATTTTAATTTTAAGGTGTATATATTAACTCTTTAAAAACCACTTTAAGGAACCATTAAAGTGTTAGACATATATAGATAATAAGAATAATAATATGCTTTTTTAAAAAGCTCTTTTTGAGAACATGTTAGTTCAGAAAAGGGATTTTTTATAGGAATTTTCTAAAATATAATTTGAACATGGCCTGTAGATGAGTAATTTGCTAAGCAAGCTTGCATTTTTTTGTATATTGATGCTTTTGATAATAAGGCATGGAATTTGTATTAATTGAATTACAGGGACAGTTTTCTGGGAAAACAAAATTTGCTTTCTACCTTTGGAGAAGTAAACACTGAAGAGCCACCCAAGCAGATACTTGAGCTTTATAAATGCAAAGGAGACATCTTGTGCATAAATTCATAAACAAATGTAAAATAAATGACCTCCCTTTCTCCCAAAGACTGGTGCTCAATGGAAATCTCTTCAAATGTGTGAAGCATCAAACTATTGTATTAAAGGCAGATTATATGTGGTCTCTGTTTTTTCTAGCAAATTGAACTTGAACTAATGTAAGCAGTTTTCAGTTTATTATAAGACCTTTCTTTAAAAAAGAGTTCATTGATTATATATAGCCTCTTTATTGAGCATTTTTACGTACTAACTACCGTAGGTAATTTATCCAACTAACCTTTACAACCACCCAAAAAGGTAGATATAATTTTCTCCACTTTATAGATGTGGAAACTGAGACCTAAAGAGATTATTGATTTTCTCAAGGCCATACAGTGGTAAGGAGTGGAGCAAGAATTTGTACCTAGCTCAGTCTAACTCCAAGGCCTATGCTCTGTAACCACTGTACTGTACTGGCTAATGAGCTGGTGGGCACCTTGCCCTGTGGCTATTCAGAGACGATACTCAACTCTCAGGAATACTACTGGCATATTCCCTACTTCTAAATCTGAGATTGTATTAAAACCTAATCATTAGTATATACCCAAAAGAATTGAAAGCAAGGTCTCAAAGATACATTTACACTCCCATGTTCTTTGCAGCATTATTCACAATAGCCATTAGGTGGAAGCAACCCAAATGTCCATCGATAGATAAATGGATAAAATGTGGTGTATAGATTTCATTGTGTATCTACCATTTTGGTATGGTATAATACATATTATTCAGCCTTAAAAAGAAAGGACAGTCTACAGTATGCTACAACATGGATGAACCTTGAAGACATTATGCTAAGTGAAATACGCCAGTCACAAAGGGACAGATGCTGTATGATTCCACTTAAGTGAAGTACCTTGAGTTGTCAGATTCGTAGAAACAAAGTAAAACAGCACTTGCAAGTGACTGGAGAAAGGGCAGAATGGAGGGTTACTGTTTAATAGTACAGAGTTTAAGTTTTGCAAGATGCAAGAGTTCTGGAGATGGATGGTGGTGATGGTTGCACAACATTGCGAATGTACTAAGTACCACTAAACTGTACACTTAAAAATGGTTACGATGGTAAATTTTAAAAATGTAATCATTAGGTAAACTCTTAACAGCCCTTTCACCTCTTAAGAATCTAAAATTCTGCAAAACAGTCAAGAAAATTGGACTGTTTATCAAAAAAACCCCACTGTAATTGTGTGCTGACCTCTCTGAGGTCATTGTCATGTCCAGCACATAGTGGGTAGTCAGCATTTATTGGTTGACTCTAAATGATTCATGAGGAAGTTTAAAAATAAGGACTTTTCCTTATTAAAGTCATGATACATGTTAATTGTGGAAAATACAGATGGGGAAAATAATAAAAATCACTTGTAGTCCTACTGTTAACATTTCTGTATAAATCCATCCAGGCTGTTTCTATGCATACAAATAGATTGCAAAAATGAGATCATATTATATACACTGTTTGGTAACCTGCTGTTTCTTCCCCTTAACAATATATTATGGCCTTCTTTCCATGTAAATTGGAAAAATTGAATATTGGCTTTTATTGCACCTATTCATCATCTGTAATGATTGGTAGGGAAAGATAACATGGATAATTGAAAGCCATTTTTCCTCCTCCTTCCCTTCCAGTCTATTTTTTTCTCCTGGGAATTCCTCCCTTCACTGAGACAGAATTGCCTTCTCTTTCGCCTTGCCTTGAGCTAGTTTTCTTTCAGAATGCCTTTCAATTGCATTGTATATCTCACCCCAGCGTTGGGCTCTGTTCGAACATTCTTGCCAAGTTATCTGTCCCATTCTTCCGCCTCACTTGTCTGCTACCTCGGCCACTATCATTATTTGTCTCTCATTCACCTCCTCCTCCTCTGTTTTGTACCTCATCATTAACGTGGGGGGTGGCTACCTTCCTACAGCCTTGAGAACACCCATCTATTCTGAGAAATCATGACCACTCGTCCCACCCCAAATCTCATTTTTCAACATTGCCCCATGACAGTGGATATTAACATATAGAAAAATCTCCAGGGCATAAAGTATTTACTTCACTTTGGACACTATTAATGTCCCCTGCACGCCCACTGAGTGATATAATATAATAGAGAACATGCCATCATCTCAGATAGCAGAAAGCCAGTGGCCATTTCAATTGCATCTCATAATTTAATCTGATCCCTGAAAATGAGAGCCATTAAGAGGAGGCATTTATTTAGAGAAAAAAATGTTAATATTTCATCATCAGGTAATAAATAGAAATACCAATTCCCACACAGAAGGACTGAGCAAAGAACTCATTTTGATTCAGGTTCTAGTTTAATCACAATGTTCAAATAAAATGCTTAACCTGCAGAACTTCAATGAGGACTAATTCTTTAAAATGAAAAATGAGTGCAAACAATATTAAAAACAGGCATTTCTTCCCTGCCACCAAAATCTATCACTGTTCTGCATCAACAGAATTGTGGTATCTGAAATGCTATTTAAAACCAAATTA